TAAAACCCAGAATAATACCATCCTGTTTTTAGTTGTGTGCTTGCAGGAATGCCTATCCATGAAATGTATGTGGAGGCTAGACACTGCTCTCCACTTTAGTTTTTGAGACAGGATCCTTCACTAAACTTGGGGCTCACCAATTTGGCTAGCTAGACTCACCAGCCAGCGGACTTTATAGATGTGCCTGCCTCTGCCTCCCAGGCATTGAAATTACAGATGCATGCCAATACACCCAGCCTCTTATGTGGGTGCTGGCCACCTTAATTTAGGTCTTCATGATTATGTAATGAGTACTTTACTAACTGAACCATCTCCTCAGTTCTGGAAAAATACCTTCCTGAAATCAACAAAAAAAAAAATTCTTTGGGGGTGGAAGAGAAGGTTCAGCAGTTAAGAACACTTGCTACTACTCTAGTAAAGGGTCTAGGTTCAGTTCTCATTATCCACATGGTGGCTCACAATCCTCTGTAACTCATTCCAGGAGATACATTGCCTTCCTCTGGCCACCAGGCATCTACATGGTGCACATGCATACAGGCAAACCACTCATAAGATAATCTTTAATTCCTTTTGTTGGGGATAGAGAGATAGCTCTTAAGAGCTCTTGCTACTCTATGAGAGGACCCAAGATCAATTCCCAGCATCTACACAGGTGGCTCACAACTGTTTGTAACTCTAGCTCCAGGGGGGATCTAAAGCATCAGGCCTCCACAGGAACCTGCACTCATGAACACACACCCTTCCATGTATATGCACATAGCTAAAAAATAAATCTTTAATATTTTTCCTTTTGTGTGTGTGTGTGTATCACAGTGCACATGTGAAGGTGAGAGAATAGTTTTCTATTTAAAAAAAATTAATAGTGTGTCCACACCACGGAATGCATGTGGAAGCCAACCTGCAGACAGGCTCCCTCCTTCCACCATTGTCAGGTTGTTAGACTTGGCTACAGGCTGTCTCCCTGGCCTAGAGCGGCCCGTTTGCCTGGCAGTTAACAGATCTTTCTCTTTGCACAGAGCTGGAGATCCACGATAGGGCCTGGTGCACAACAGGAAAGTGCTTTACACTGGGCCACATTCCCAGTCCTGAAAATCGGATTTAACAGCTATAGAGATTCTACACAGCATTTCTTTTGCTGTTGTTTCACTTTTGAGATAGTGTCTGGCTATATAGTCCAGGCTGGCCTTGAGTCTTGATCTCTTTGCCTTAACATCTGCAGTGCTGAGATTACAGGCATGTGCTGCAATGCTGGCTTACATAAAATCTTTTTGTTGCTTTTTTTTTTTTTCAAGACAGGGTTTCTCTGTGTAGCTCTGGCTGTCCTAGAACTCACTCTGTAGACCAGGCTGGCCTTGAACTCACAGAGAGCTGCCTGCCTCTGCCTCCTGAGTTCTGGGATTAAAGGTGTGAGCTATGAAGGCCTGGCAGCTTACATATAATCTTAAAGGTGAAAATAAAACTTACCTCATAGTACCACTGAGATACTGGCAAACTGTGAGTAATAGCAAGCCAATTTCGGTGTACTTCAAAATCTGTGGAATGGCTAAACAAGGCAATTACAGAACAAAGTGAGATTTTGAAACAGTTGTATCTCATATCGCATAAAACAACATAGCATGCACACATGCACAAGGTCATTATACATCTATCTCACTTATTAAGAGGTCAGGCCTCCCTCTATGTTGTTGGGGGATCTAGGAGTTTGTATAGGGGTCTGAGATATCCAAGGGCTGACACAAAATGGGTTCTCAGACCACTGCACAAAAGTGACTTTCTCTTTCTTACAAGCAACTCTAACAAAATCCATAATCCAGAAAAAGGCTTACAAAGGAGGGGCTTCAAACATTTAAAATCACATTTATATTATTTTGAGTGTAGGTACATGTGTGAAAGTCAGAGGACAATGAATGGCAGCTGGCCCTCTCCTTCTATTATGTGTGTCTTGAGGGTGAAATTCAGATTGTTAAACTTGCCATTAGGGGTCCTTTTTTTTTTTTTTCCCTGAGACAGGGTTTCTCTGTATTGTCTTGGAGGCTGTCCTGGAACTAGTTCTGTAGACCAGGCTGGTCTCGAACTCACAAAGATCCACCTGCCTCTGCCTCCCGAGTGCTGGGATTAAAGGCGTGTGCCATCCACAATGCCCAGCTGCCATTAGGGGTCCTTTACCCACTGGGCATCTCAGGAGTCCAATGACTTTTTTGTTGTTACATAGTCCTGCCTGGTGTTGAATTTCCTTCATAGACCAGGCCCTGAATTTACATCAATCTTCTTGCCTTTGCTTTCAGAGTGTTGCGATTATTGATATGAGCCACCATATCCAGCTCTTGTTTCATTTAGACCACGCTCTAACATGGACTACACTACCCGCCTCGGAAACTCTCTTGAATTAACATCAATTAATATATAGGTGGTTTTGTGTATTGAACCACACCAGCCCCACTAGACAAAACTAAGACATGTAATCCAGGCTGGCTTTTCTATTTTTTACATTTATTTATTCTGTGTACAGGAACGGAGCAAGCTGTGGCCTGTGTGCACTCATGTACACATGAGTCTGTGTGTTTGTGCTCGAGTGTGTATGCAGATAAAGGGAACAGCTTGGGAGAGTTTGTTCTCTCCTCTCACAAAGTAGTTTCTGGGGGATCAGCTCAGGCTGTTAGGCTTGTCTGAAAGTGCCTTTGCCCTGGCCATGAGTTCTTGATTTTCAGCCTCTACATCCTAAGTGGTGGAATTATGCATATACCCAGCTTAAAGATTCCTCTGCCTGATAAATCAGTTATCATTCTACCACCTGCTTTCAAACTGTGGAATGCTGTTCGTTAACAATATCCTTTATCACACTTACAATTTATGTTATTATTTGAGAAAAGGGTTTGCAATGTAGTCCAGGCTGGCCTCTAATGCATGATGCTCTGACCTTGGTCTCCTGAGTTATGGAATTACAGACATGGGCTGCCATATTTGGATTTAATTCATACTATTCTGACATCATTTTAGTCAGATTTGGAGATGAGTAGTCTCCAAATTACTTTGGTAACCAAAACCTTTCATTAAGTTGTGAGTTTCCCCATCTCTACTGTAAGCAATCAGAAACCCTTTTTCTCCTTGGTGCTCTGATTTAGTCTAGTGCTTGGAATAAAGTAGGGGGGCTGGAGAGGTGTTCACTGCTCTTCCAGAGGACCTGAGGTCAATACCCAGCACCCAAATGGTGGCTGAGGCAGAGTGATCTCCAATTTGAGGCCAGCCTGGGCTACATGGTAAGACCTGTCTCAAAACTAGCAGCAGCAACAAATCAAAAACACATATATAATCATAACACTCAAGAAGCAGAGGCAGGAGGATTGCTGAATGTCCAAAGCCAGCCTAGGACAGTGAGACCTTGTCTCAAAACAAAACAAAACAAAACTTTTTCATATAAGTATAGGTATTTCTTCCTCATTCAATGGTGATATACGAATGAATGGCTATAAATATTCGGAATGTGAAGGTTAGTTTTGCAGTATCAGCAGTTAATTTTTCTAATTAATGAAGAAAAAGAATGAAAGTAATTACAATTTTTTGAAAGTATTTGGGGAAAAAACTACGACTAGAAACAAGATGTCAAATAGCAAGTAACTACAGTGATGTGTTTGCTCAAAGTCAGGGCACTTTCTGGAAAAATGCAACCTTAAGCAATTTGTGCACCCATTACAGAGAAGTTACAGAAACTAAGAAAGTTATGGCATCACAGGAAATTCTTGGTCTGGAGAGATGGCTCAGAAGCTACAAGGACGTGTTGCTCTTACATAGGATCCACACTGGGCTGCTCACAACATCCTGTAACTTCAGCTCCAAGGAATCTAATACCCTCTTCTGGCCTCAAAGGGAGCCCCACAAATGTGGCATGCAAACACACAAATAAAATAAATCTTACGGAAAAAGAAACCCCATAATCTTACAGGACTGTCATTGTATATGTAGTCTATCAGCGACAAAAACACTGTCACCAAATGATACATGACTGTACTTGGTATGCAATGTGTTTGCCACGCTTGGGCCTGTTAGCCCTTCACTCTGTATTTACACAACTAAGTGCTGGTTCCTGTGCTTTTAGTTTGGCTGTACACTCATTTTCTTTGTTTTACACAAGTCTACATGTTTTCCCCAGCCCTGGGAGATCTCATCCTGGGTATGTTGCCCTGTGCCACTTTTCTTCTTTTTCAGCTTTTAACTACAATGACAACTTTCTGAGCTTAGGATCCCGAGCTCTTTCCTACTACAGGGCTTTTGGACTTAGTCTTTCCTACGCCTGAACTTTTTCAGATTGGTTGTTCTTTTTCATACTGGGGATATAAACTCAAACATCACCCCCTAAAAGAAGAGTAAAAGCTCTGCTGTCAGTTACTGTCTCCTTTATACATCTTGAAGAGTCTGAAGTTTGCCTCTCCCACGTCCAGGGAAGATGAGGTCCCAACCATCTTCAGGATTTAGAAAAGCGCCTGGTCCTTTAAGCAGCAGGTCTTACTGTTCGAAAGACTGACAGGTGGAGTTGGGGTTATTGCATTTGAAGGATGAGGACCCCGACCCTAAGAAACTTGAAAGTGGCTTGCCCTAAATTAGCGTAAGGACTCATCCTGGACAGACATAGCTATATTCTAGCTCTCAGGTTAAGTTATCAAGCGGTGTGATAAAAAGCTTACAAAGGCGAAGAAAACACATGGTCTTTCTTCCTCATGCCCAGAACATCCATACAGGTCTCGCCCACCCTGCCGGCCGCGGGGCCTCCCCGCCCAGCCCCTGGCTCTACAGGTCCTTACTAGGTGGGGATGAGGAGGCATTTGAGGAGAGTCACCCCGAGAGCCAAAGCCGAGAACCAGTGGCCACCACTAGCAGCAAGAGAGAACGCCGCCATTCCTGGAGTCCCGTCACTTCCGGGATGCTGCGCATGCGAGTAAGACCTTTAGAGGCGGTGCCGGCGAGCTCTGCGCATACGCCGAATTCTCTAGGCTTTGGCAGGAGAGCGCGCCAGCATTTAAACCTCCCGCCCAGGCTCCGTTGTTTTAGACAGAGATGACTCAGCTGCGCCTGCGCGGACTTCTAGGGTGACAGTTATTTGTTTGTTCGTTCGCTCGTTCGTTCGCTCGTTCGTTCGTTCGTTCGTTCGTTCATTCATTCTGGTTGTTGTTAGTACGTACTTCCATTCAAGTAGTGGCTGGCCGGCTGCTTTGGGTCGTGATTTTGAGTTGGAGATAACAACGTGAGAAAAACCCCCGTTACTTACTAGGATGAAAGTTCTCGAGAGAAAGAATACTGAAACGCCCCTCGGAACCGGAAGTTAAGTCCAGGTACTGAATGGTCTGAGCAGAGATACAGAGCTGAAAACCTTTCTGATGCTAGTAGCGCTTTGCTAGGCTCTCTGTACGGCACCTGCTCCAAGCAGGAGGCCAAAGTCTAGCACTGACCACGTTTTTCTTGTGGTTAGTTCATTCACAATGAATCTCTGGCTGGCTTGGAACTCACAGAAACCTTTGTACCTCTGCCTCTGGGGTGCTGGGACTAAAGACTAAAGGCAGTGGTGGGACACACACACACACACACACACACACACACACACACACACGAGGGAGGGAGAGAGAGAGAGAGAGAGAGAGAGAGAGAGAGAGGAGACAGAGACAGAGAGACAGACAGAGACAGAGAGACAGAGACAGAGAGACAGAGACAGAGAGAGACAGAGACAGAGAGAGAGACAGAGACAGAGAGAGATGCTTGAGATGGTGCCAAGAAAGAATAAATGCCCAGTAATGGGTCAGAGAAATTAAATGCCTCACTAATGCATGGCAAAACATTAATAGGAATTTATGCCTCACTCGCAGCTTCATATACCACCTATATATTTATGATGCTCAGTTTTATACCTCAAACCCAGCCTTCTTTCTCCCGGATTCTTATTTCCAACTGTCTGACATCTCATGGGTGGGTTCCTTCCCAGCCTCCTTGCCTCTCTCCCCTTCCCTTCCTTCCCCTCCCCTCCCCCTTTCTCTCCTCCTTCCTCTTCTCTCTTCTTTTACATCTCACCTCATCTTGGAGATTGAATTCCCAGGGCTTCACACATCTAGTAATGAGCTACATCCCTGCACTTATAAGCATTTTAAATATTTGTTTATTTTATGTATTTTGAGGCAGAGTTATATATATATTAATATATGTCAATATATACATATATATATATCAAACTCACCCTGGATCCCAGGCTGTCCTTCAACTTTCAATCCTTCTGCCTTAGTTTACCAAGTAAATGACATTCACAGGTTCTGGTGATTACGACAAACCTCCCACGTGTTATATCTAAAACTGAATTCATGATTTTTTCAATATTATCCACTTAGAGAAAGATATCAAATATCCCCGTTTACCTCCCTCGCACACCTGTTCAATTTGATATGTCACTCACTACGATAGTGTTCTTCTTTTTGAAAGGAGTCTCTCTGTGTTGCCCAGGTTAATCTTAAACTCCTGGACTCAAGTAATCCTCTCTCCTTGCTGTTCTCCAAGCACACCTCATTCTAATCCCCACCAGCAACCTCATGCTTCATTGTAGGTGACTGGTTGGCCTCCAGGTAGCTTATCATTACATCTACCTGCTTGGTTAAGAAATAATTTCAAAGATAAGCCAACTTGGGATTCTAGCTCCTGGTTCTTTATGTTTTTGTCTATTGAAACAGGGATATTACCTAGGTTAGCCTTGAACTCTCCATCCTCTTCCCTCAGCCCCAAGCTTCAATTACAGTCATGTAAACCACCAAAACTGGCCAATCTCACGAGTCTTCTCCCTTTCTCTTCCTCCTCCTCTTCTTTTTTTCTTCTTTTCCTTCAAGGCAGGGTCTCACTATGAAGCCTCAGCTAGTTTGGAACTTGCTATCTGCAACGAACTTGTAGGTCAAGCTGACCTCAAAGTTACAGCAATCATCTGCCTCTGCCTTCCAAGTGCTGGGTTTGCAAGCGTTACTGCCATAGCAGGATAACTCATGTGATTTCTTTCTTTCTTTCTTTCTTTTTTCTTTTTTTTTTTTTTTGAGACAGGGTTTCTCTGTGGCTGTCCTGGAAGTAGCTCTTGTAGACCAGGCTGGTCTTGAATTTACAGAGATCCACCTGCCTCTGCCTCCTGAGTGCTGGGATTAAAGGCGTGCGCTACCACCGCCCGGCGTGTTTTTTTTTTATAAAGACGTATTTATTTTTATCTTATGTGTATAGATGTTTTGCCTGCCTGTATGCATACTCGGGATGTGCTTGCAGTGCCCACAGAGACGAGAAAGTGTCGGATTCTCTGGAACTGGAATTACAGATGATTATGGTTGTGAGCTTCCGAGTGCATGCTGGGAACTGAAACCAGGTCCTCTGGAAGGGTATCCAGTCTTCTTAACCATTGAGCCATCTCTCTAGCCCCCTAATTGTGCTTTTTATTCAAGAACACCTGAATTTTTTCTGACCCTTCTTTAATTCCTTAGAACCTGGATATTGAATAATTCCTTTTTGTCTTCTCTGGCTTATGCACTAAATCCCATCAGTATTGACTAGGGCTGTGGCTCAGTGGTGGAGTGCGAGCCTAGCGTACAAGAGGGAAAATCTTACCACTTTTTCTGTGTTCAGTCCTTGTGTTGGATAGCATTATGTCAATTTGACACAAGCTATAGTCATCAGAGAGGAGGCAGCCTCAATTGAGAAAAGGCCTCTAAAGTCGGTGGTCGTACATGTTTTTAATCCTAGCACTCCGGAGGAAGAGGCAGGCTGATCTCTGTGAGTTCAAGGCCAGCCTGGTCTACAGAGCAAGTTCCAGGACAGCTAAGGCTACACAAAGAAACCCTGTCCCTAAAAACCAAAAATTTAAAAAAAATGCCTTCATAAGATAGGCAGGCAAGCCTGTAGGGTATTTTCTTAATTAGATTGATGTGGGAGGTCCATTATAGGTGGGGCATCTCTGAGCCAGTGGTCCTGGGTTCTATAAGAAAGCAGACTGAGTAAGCCTTGGAGAGCAAGCCACTAAGCAGTACCCATCCATAGCCTTTACATTAGCTCCTGCCTCCAGGTTCCTGCCCTGCTTGAGTTCTGTCTTGACTTCCTTTAATGATGGACTCTGATGTAGAAGTGTAAGACAAATAAACCCTTTCCTCCCTAAGCTGTTTTGATCAAGGTGTTCTATCATAGCAGTAGTAACCCAAACTAAAACAGCTCCCATGTAGGGAAATGTTTGCATCTTGTGTGTGTCTATTGCATATTCAAACCCACTTCCTTAACTAGGTTTATTGTCTCTGAAAGAAATGTTTATTTATTCCTTCTTTCTCTCATTCCCTCCCTCCTTTGTGCTTTCATTTCTTTTTGTTTTGCTTTGGAACAAGGATCTTACTATGCAGTGGTAGCTGTCTTAGCTTCCTGAGTGCTGGCATTACAGGGGTGTGCCACCACACTCAGGTGTATCTGAATTTCTGAATCGTGTGTGTGTGTGTGCTTGTTGCACACAAGTGATCATGCATTTTGTGTTAGAATCCAGGGCCTTGGCATCCCTATTAAATGTTCTATCATTGAACTACATTCCCATCGCTCTGGGGCTTTTTTTCTATAGGAAGCAGGGACAGCATGAAGCATTTTTAGCAGGACTTTAGCATAGCTGCATTGCCGATGTTCAGTGTCTGTGATAATTAATCTTTACTGACAGTTTGACAGGATTTAGAATTACCTAGGAGATATACCTCTAGGCTTGTCTATGAGGGCTTTTCCACAGAGGTTAACGGAGGAGGAAAAATACCCCGAATTAGACAGCATTTTTCACTGGGTCCCAACTGATTTAAAAGGGAAAAGTGTGCCGAATACCAGCATTTATCTTTCTGTTCCCTGACTGTGGATGAAACTTGACGGGCTACCTTGAATACCTGCCTTCCTTACCATGATGAACTGTGTGTCCTCAAACTTTGAGCCAAAAAAAGATTCTCCTTTCTTTTTTAGATTTATTTATTTATTATGCATACAATATTCTGCCTGCATGTATGTCTGAGAAGAGGGCACCAGATTTCATTATAGATGATTGTGAGCCACCATGTGGTTGCTGGGAATTGAACTCAGGACCTTTGGAAGGGCAGTCAGTGCTCTTAACCTCTGAGTCATCTCTCCAGCCCCAAGCTGTTCCTTTCTTATGTTGCCTCTTGCCAGGCATTTGGTCACAGCTATAACAGCCCCCCCGAGTCTTAGTAGTCCCCCATACCTTAGCATAATTTATACCATGATAGAAGTTCCATTCAAGCCATAAACTTGGCACATAGACATCATCGCCTGCCAAAATGAAAAGAAAGACGTAATTCATCAAAGTCCATAGTTCTGGGAAAGTCTCTAAATATACTAACCTTACTTTTTGGCTTATGTAATTCTGCTTTTGGCTAATATGTCTTGCTATATCAATCTAGGATATGGTTTTGTCCTTAAAATTACATCCTGAGAAAGGCTCAGGGCTACACTGGGATTCCAGTGTAGTCTCCAGTCAGCTACAAAGACTTTCTATGGACTTAAACCCATGTCCAAGTAGTCTTCTCTGGTGGATACCCAACAACAACAACAACAACAACAACAAGCAAAGTAAGTAATGCAAGGTTTGTCTTGAGTCCAAAGGGGCAAGACTGTTCAAGGTGCAAGGTCAGCTGATCTTCTTTCTCATGTTATGATCAAGCCACTAGAATTTGAATAGGAACTAGAATTTGAATAGGAACCAGCCAAGATAATGCTCAGGAGGCCAAGGCAGGATGATTGGGAATTCAAAGTCTGCCTGGCCTATGTAAAAAAAAAAATTACTCTTGGTGTAGTAGCTCACACCTGTAATTAGCACTGGGGAGACAGTAGGGGGATCACCAAGTGTTCTAGTCCAGCCTGGGCTATTAACACACACACACACACACACACACACACACACACACAGACAGAGAGACAGAGACAGAGAGACAGAGACAGAGACAGAGACAAAGAGTAAGCTTTGAATGACAAAGGTTGTTACAATTCCTTGCCTGCATGTTCTTTTGGCACCAGGACCTCAGTTTCAATATTCTTGCTAACATGTTTGCACAATCATCTCTTCTTTGTGGTGGACAATATCTATTTTATCTTGTTTGTTCACTCTGTTTCATTCTCTTCCTTAATACCCTATTTCATGGCATCACTATAATGGATTAGCAACCAAGGGCTAGGAAGGAGGAATTGTATCTAGGACCAGCATCATTTTACTTCTTCCTCCAAACTGAGGGCTCTAGTGTAATCAGTCTGCTCTTAAAAGGTTTCCCTGAGAACTGGAGTTATAATGAGAGCCCAA